ATGAAATTGGCCCTCCCCCCTGCTTTGGGCAAATTCAAGAGGAGGTGGATGATCACCTGTCTGGGGTCTTGTGCCCCCAGCATTCATTCCTGTCTGTGGCAGGGGGTCAGGCTAGATGATCTGTCCAGGTTCCTCCTGACCCCAGCTACTATGAAACTATCCTGTTTGCACAGCTCGCAGTGCTGACGTGGCCTAGCACCCCGTGGCACCCTTGAAAGGATCTCAGGGCTCCCCGGGGTGCTGCGGCCCCCTGGTTAGAATCACAGCTTTAAGGGAGCGTTGTCAGGTACTGTCACAAAATACCAACTAGCTGCTTGGCAGCAGTGTTACGACCTTTATTAATGACCGCAGGGCTTATGGCAACAAGCATTGCTGGGCATACCCGTGGCTGGACTAGCCAGGGGGATTTGTGCTGTCCCAGGCCGGCCGGCTTCAGCAGATCAGCTGTCGCTAGATATGAACGTTTCGTTCTCGCTCTTTGTGACCCTCCAAATTTCTCGTTATCTGGTTGTCCTTGGAGCTCCGGACTTGACTGGAAACACCCCTGTGTGCCTATCTCATTCCCAACACACAGCCCCCTGCTCTGACTTGCTGTGCTTATTTCTGCTGGGTTTCCTCCCAGCCCACCAGTCTCCTTGCCTTTGGTCCTCCCTTCCAGCATCCGCTCTCTGCCCCTGTGACACGGGAGACGGGACAGGATGGACCCAGCCCGTGGCAGTTCAGATGCCTGTATGTGTTGTGAGCTGGCGTGGGAGATGCTCCGGTCCGGCAGCGAAGAGCGCTGAGCATGTGATGTTCGTGCTTGCAGGTGCCGGTGACGTTCGACGACGTGTCGGTCTACTTCAGCGAGGAGGAGTGGGAGAGCCTGGCCGGCTGGCAGAAGGAGCTGTACAAGAACGTGATGAAGGGCAACTATGAGACCCTGGTCTCGCTGGGTGAGGGCTTTTCCCTGAGAGACGTCTAGGAACCACTTGGGCAAGGGGTATTTTCCTGCCTTTGCCTTTCTGTGCCCAGGGCTTGCTGAGGTCCCAGACACAGGACAGCCCCTCTCGCTGGCGGGGGGCAGGCCGGGAGCGGGGGTCCTCATCTCCTATTGCACTGAGCAGCCGCAGCACCAGTGCAGCCACCAGCCGCAGCCAACACGGTGCAGGGGGGTTGTTGCAGCAGAGAGGCTGGAGGGCAGGGATGAGCCCCGCCAGCGAGGGGTAGCGACACCTCCGGTCTCCGGGGCTGTCAGGCTGATACATCCAGCCCCTTTTCCCTGTTGCCTCCAGCGTGGAGACGGCATCTCTTTGCCTCCCATCCCCGGCAGCCGGAGTCAGGTCCCATCCCACCTATAGTGCATCTAGGGGTGGTCCTATTGCCCGCTGCTCGAATCCCTGCAGATCTGCTAGTCCAGGTTGGTAGCACGCCATCATCAGAGCGTGGAGACAGAGGAAAGGACAGCCCAGGGACAGAGGAAGCAGCACAAACATACCAGGTTTTTGCTTTAGCAGCTGCTCAGAGAGTCAGGCCAGGGGTGGTAGGAGGCCTCTCGGTCCAGGATCAGGCCCTAAGTGCCTGTCATTTCCCTCGCACAGACTACGCCATCTCCAAGCCCGACCTGTTGTCCCGGATCGAGCGAGGGGAGACGCCGTGCATCGGGGAGCAGGTGGACGGGGAGGTCCCCGTGGAGCCCAGCACAGGTGAGTTACTGAAACTGCTGCGGTCTGGGGGCACGCGGGGCAGGAGGAAGTCCCTCAGCATCACAGAGCGGGGAGAGGGGGTGGAAAAGCAGCACGCTAAACGGGAACAGCTTTGAGGCCCAGAGGTTGGCTGCTGAAGGAGCTGGGGACCACAGTGCCGGCGTCCCAAGCCCTGGGTGCTGGGCCGGGGGGACCTGCCTGCCAAACCACTGCTGCTCAGCTCCCCTCTCCTTCCAGTGGTGATCGAAGCGGAAGAGGAGCAGCCCAGAAGCCTGGAGCTGCAGAGGACATTGCTGGCGGCCGAGGCTTTCCAGTGCCCGGAGCAGGAGATGTTGCAGCATGAGAGTCTGGACAGCCCAGGAACAGAGATGCTTGGGCACGGCCCGGGGAAGCCGGCTGCTCCCGCGCTGGACTTCCCAGATGCCAACCCAATGCTGCTGTATCAGCTCGTGGCCCTGCAGCCGCGAGACCGTGGGGCGGAGGGCCCCCTCCCAGTGCTGCCGGCCGAGAGCACCCCACCCCGGCACAGCCCCCGCGCCCACCCAGCGGCAGGGAATCCCTACTCGTGCCCCGAGTGCGAACGGCGCTTCTGCCACAAGTCCAGCCTGCGCAAGCACCTGCGGTCTCACGGCGGGGGCTGCGGCCGGAGCCCGCTGCAGAAGGGGAGCCCGGCGCGGGGCCCGTGCAAACCGAGGAGCCAAGGCGCTGGCGCCTTCCAGTGCTTGCAGTGCGGGCAGCGCTTCAGCTGCCCCTCCCACCTGCTGCGGCACCAGCGCACCCACACGGGCGAGCGCCCCTACAAGTGCACGCAGTGCGAGAAGCGCTTCACCCGCAAGCAGTACCTGGTGGAGCACCAGCGCGTGCACGCCGGAGAGCACCCCTACACCTGCCCCCACTGCTCCAAGAGCTTCCGCTACAAGCGCTCCCTCCGCTACCACCAAAAGAGCCACGCCGCCCACGCCAGCCCCCTCCACGACCTGCTGGACCCTGGGCCGGCTGGTGGGCACCTGGGGTGACCCCGAGCCCTCACCCACCCTCTGGAGGGAAGTGACTCACTGTTTTGACATGGGGCCAGAGCCGGAAACGTGGGATGGCTGTCTGCCACGTGCTGTGGGGTGTGTGGTACCTGGCCGCCAGGCTGCCCTGCCTCTCCCCTCCTTCCTGGTGTCTCCAGCATCCCGAGCAGTGCAAGCTGGGGATCCAGCTAGCCATGCACGCGTGGCCCGTCGGGTTAGACTGCGAGCTCCCTGGGGCAGTTTGGTTCCCTGCTCTGCCACAGATGTCGTGTGTGGCCTTGGCCAACTCACTTGGCCTCCGTTCCCGTTGTGCAGACAGCAGTGGGGGCTGCGCTCGGAGCTAACCAGCTGCTCCATGACCTCTGGTCTGCTCTGGTTTCCCTCTGCACTGTGTTGGCTAAGTCCAGACAGCCATCTGCCTGGTTGGGGCAACCTCATTGCCTTCCTACAGCTCATCCCCGTCCTGGCCAGCCTTTCCCTGGCTGTGTGGAGCTCAGCTGGATCCCTCCTTCCAGTGCAGAGATGTTCCTAAGCCTCTTTGCAAAGGACATTTGAAGGATCCCGTGGTATCTTAGGGTCTAGGTTGTCTATCTGGGGGCAGAGTTGTAGGCTCTGTGCTTCCCGCTGCCGTCTGCCTGTTAGGGAGCTGGTGGAGTTGGGGGTGGGGGGTGAATGGATGGGGCAGCGGATGAATAACCCTCTGGCCTCTTCTGCGATCCCAGCCAGCGACAAGACAAGAAGGAGACCCTGGAAGATGCTATGCAAGCTTGACAGCGAGGAGAGCACCCTGAGCTGGGAAGAAGGGGGTGGCAGCAAGGGGAACAGCTCCAGAGAAGAGGGACTTTGGTGCACAGGGGCCGGCACTGTGCACCTGCCCCACGTGTGCGCACGGCTTCCCAGACCAGGCTGGACTCGGCACAGCCGGGGCAGAGCCAGGGGAGCAGTGGTGCAGTATCACCCCCCTTTTGTCTCCAGCTCCACCCAGAGTTTAAAACAAACTGCTTGGCACTAGCATTTCTAGTCAGGCGGCCCTGACATCCTGGCTCATCATAATCCACCCAACTCCTTCTAAACTCTTCACTCCGCAGGTGTTAACAGCTGTCTCTCCTTTTTCTATGATTAACTCAGGTGAATATTCACTCAGGTGCAGATAACTTTCAGTGAAGCATTGGATGTACTGCCAAGATGCTGAAGAAGGCCTGATTTAGTTTTATGAATCTAAAAGAGAGACATACATTGAAATCAAATAACTACAGGACTAACAAAACTAAACTGCATCTTCTGGTTCGCTTGCCCTGTTTGATGTGTTCTTTACACACAACAGTTTAATGAACAGTCCAATAAAGTTGTATTTGTTTTTGCTTTGATTTTAAACTGAATAATACAACCCAAGGCCCCTAGCCCATTAGTAAAGCATCTCAGTTCTTTTTAAGGGGAGAAAAATGTGCATTGCATTATATGCACCACAAGCTATGCACCTCCCTTGTCAAAATCCTGGATCCACCCATGAGCATGCTCCAGCTGTTGCAATGCGGAGAGGTGCTCTGATACCTGCCGAGTGCAAGAGGCACTTCCAGCTGCAAATCAACCTGGGGGTGCCCGGGGGAGTCACTGGGGCTCAGGTCGGGGTATACACGGCTGCAGGTGGTGCTTTGGACACCACTCCAACTTCATCCCCAACAGTGTCACAGCAGCCTAGCAGAACAACCACGTCCGAGCCAGCGAGCGAAGCTGTGCTGCTGTGTGACAGACGGGGACACAGTCCGGGATGGTTTCTACATGGTTAAGTAAATTCCCACCATGGGAGGAAAGGACCTGGTAGTCACCATGCACACGGGGCTGCTTGCTGTCCTCCAGTCAGTCCATCCTTTGCTCATTCTTGAAAGGACGCTGTTTCTTGCTCAGATCAACTGATGCTAATTTTCAGCATGTCTCTCAGTGGGTGGCCTGTCATCCAGGCTTCTCAGCTCCTGGCCTGGTCAGGTGCCCTTTAAAGGGGGGAAATGTCCGTGTAAATGAACGGCATGCATCTGCTCTTTTTAATGTTGAGGTCGCTGGCCTCTATTAGACATCCAGGTTGGAAGTGAACCCGCTCTGTCTTCATCAGCCAGGCACCTTTAAAAGGATGAATTTTTCCTTTGTGACATCCTGAAGCTGTCCGATCCCCAGGCATCATGAGTGTCTGAATACATGTCCAGGAGCCCATAGATGCCACAAGTGCTTTGAGGAGCATTTCCAAAATGCCCTGAATAATAGTCCCGTTGACTGTCAGTCCCTTTGGTCTGCATCCGCCATCCGCGAGTAATATCGGCAATCCTTTGTATGAATCTGAGCGAGCAGATCTACTGCGATGAGTCACTGGCACGTCGCGGTCTCTTAACTCCTGTCATACGGAAAATGCACGGTAATAAAGGGACGATCAGCCATACGAGAGCAGCATAAACATCCCCAGGTGCCAAACCAACCTGCTGCATCCTTCACCGCAGTCACACGTCTCTGAAATACCTCGTTGCGGACGGAGGGATCTCTTTGCAATCGGATTCCATTTTGGAAGGTTTTTTGAACTAATTAAAGGGTGGGGGGAAAAGGTATCAGATAGTTTTAAACTCCCTGGAGGATGGATGAGTTCATAATGCATCTGATAGCTCAGAAATAGAGCAGTTTCTAACCTGCCTGGCTCCACGGCTTTCCAGGAGAGACATGATGGGAGCAAGGGCTACCAGCCTGGAAAGGTGGGGTCACCATCTGGTTTCCAGGTCCCTGTGCTCTTCATTGCATGGAGTTTCATCATCATCATCCTCTTATATTTGCATAGTGGAAGCCCCTCCAGCCTAGAGCCAGGTTTGGTTGTAAAGTGAAGTCCCCAAAAGAGTCTGTAAGATAAGATTTGACACATGCAGTCCAGGGTGGCTGGACTCTCGGCAGGTGAGGACCGGTGACCACAGCTCCCCATGGGCTTGCCCATTCTCAGGATGGGAGAGATGAGGAGGGACAGGAGGATGGATAAGTGACTGGGTGGCAGAGATCGGGGCTGGGGCTTGACTCGAGGGAGGGGGCAGGGGCAAGTGGAAGGGGAGGCTGCGGTCTGTAAGGGCTAGCGGTGTCGCTAGCCGGGGAGCGTGGAGCAGCTGGCGGTAGCTGCGCAGTACCAGGACACGGACTATCCCCGAGCCAGCCGCCTGGACCGGGGCCAGGAGCAAGACGCTGGCGGTCCGGAAGCCAGAACTAGACGGATTCAGGCTGGAGCCGGGGCCAGACAGAGACTCATCTGTCCTGCAGAGTAGCTGAAGGACAGTGGAGAGGTCGGCTTATCCCAGGCGGGTAACGGGCAGCTGGGGATAGCCAGGCTCCTTGCAACCAGCACCAGGCAGCAATCGGTTAATTGAATTAATTCAGCACACCCACTGCCCTGGCTGCTGGCACTTTTTGCCTGCAAACACGCAGCACCGGACTCACACCCCTTCCTGTCCTGTGCCCCTGGCAGCACTTTCCAGGGGTGAAGCAGATTGTCCCTGCAAGCTGCGAACAACCTGCCTGGGTCTCTCCGCTGCTTAGCCTGGCAGCTGTTGTGGGCTGTCGCCATTCAAACCTGCAGGGTCGGCAATCACCTCCGTCCTGGGGTCCACTCGCTTGTCTTGGATGCAGCCGCTCGAGGGGTCTTCCCTGTTGTACCACTCCCTGCAGCAGAGACGTGCTCCCCTGCCAGCACGAGTGGAGCGAGCAGCATTGCAGTCACGTAGCGTGTCTGCAATGTGAGGCAGCGTTATCTTGCAGGGTGCTAGCAAGGCCTCCGGCTCTTGCAATAGCCCTGCATTGGGGGGGGCTCCACTGCTGCCTAACACAGCTCCTCGGGGAGGTGTCGGGCGAGGGGACGTTGCAGCGAGTGTCTCTGGAAATTGCTGCCACACTCTGACCCCATCCTCCCGTGGCGGGGAGAGGGCCCCCGCTACAGAAAGGATGTGGGCAAGTTGGAGAGAGTCCAGCAAAGGTGGTGGGGCTGGGGCACATGGCTTGTGAACTGGGCTGATTTGGCATCGCTGCCAGGGAAGCTGGAACAAATTTGGGGCAAACCATACTCTATCCCCTGAGCTCATTCAGTAAAACGGACCCCGCTGAGCCCCCCTCAGACTGAATCCCTGGGAGCACCTCCCAATTTGGGGCAGCAGGAAGGGTCTGGCCATTGAGGTACTGGCTGGCTACAGCCGCCAGCAGCCACTTGAGGGTAATTTGGCGTCCCTGGGTGAGCCTGAAGGGACGATCAGAGAAGCTTTGCAAAGCTCTCTGGCCTGGGGATCATCCTCTCCGGACAAGGGAAGAAACCCTGACTCGGCTGGGTAGGTCTCTGGTGATCCTAGGGCCGTAACCTCCAAATTTAGGCTGCTAGAAGCTAGAGGGAAGAGGGGCAGGGGACAGATCTGTCTGTACAAGCCCTGAATAGCTATTCTTCCCTTTAGCACTGGTGTGAGGAACAGGATACTGGACTAGGCAGCCCCAGGATGGCATTTCTGATGGGCACCCACTACAGAGGAACACACCAAGAAGGGTGAGACTGGAGAGGCGCGCTGGGCCAGGCTCAGCCCAGAGTGGGAAACCTGAGCTGAGGATAACAAAAAGGTATGTCAGAAAAGACGCCCTGCTGCCGGGATCACTGGGGGCGCGAACGAGGGTCTCCAAACAGCACCAGGAGAGCCAGGAGAAAAACGGGCCGCTTGAATAGCAGGTGCAGGAGATAAAGATTACAAGTGCCTAGCAGGAGAGCTGTAACGTGGCGCTGCACGGAGTGAGATGAGGGTTAACCTCCTACCTGAAACTGGGCACCCTCCATGGGGGAACGCGTTACAGGGCATGTGTCTATGTGGCTCCTCCCGACATCTGTGCATTATTGACAGTGAAGAGGGGAGGACCTGGGAAGAAGGTGAAGGTGTTCATGACTGAGAGGGTGACAGGGTCTCAACATTTCACTGAGACCTTCCAGTGCTCCCCTCATTCGGTCCAGGCAATGGCCAAGACCTTGGGCCTTGGGGACCCTGGTAACATTTGCATCCATGCAGACAAATGGCTGCAGTCCACTTTCAAAATGCTCCTTCCGACGGGCATTGATGGTTCCCCTTTCCTTGATCATTTCTCCAGCATCCTTAGGTCTCAAGGGGGTTGGTCCCCGAGTGCTCGGACCGTAGATGGCTCTGGTGGCACTGAAAAAACCTGTGCATGTTGTGGATGTTAGCAAGGTGTTGAATCTCCTTCGTCTTGTCTTCCGACCATCTGTTCTTCATACAGAGTTTCATTTTCCTAGCTCAGTCTAGGCGTACGCGCGAAAGGAGAGCAGAGAAAGTGCTTCAAGGACATCCTCAAGGTCAACTTGAAAAAAAATGCAGCATCGACATCAGCTCGTGGGAGACGATCGCCCAGGACCACCCCAAATGGAGGAAGGGATCTCGGTACTTTGAAACCTCACGATGGCAACAGGAGATGGAAAAGCAGCAACGGCAGAAACAGCGTGTCATGGACCAAATCAAGAATCCAGCACCACCCGCCCGGCATGCAAACACGTGCCCCAGTTGCAACAGATCCCAGCTCTGCCTCGCCAGCCATGGTTGGACACACAGCTAAGGCAGTCATGGCAAACAATGATCCTCCGCTGCAAGGGATTGCCCACGACAGTCCACCTGTGGATTCAAGTGATGTTGCTTGGGTCCTACGGGCAGCCCTACCCCAGCTTGTGGATTCAGGAATGAGGTAGACAGAGGCAGCCGCATTGTTAAGGATGTGGAGAAGGCCTGCCTGGGGGGGACGCTTAACCAGCACAATGTGGATACACAATCACTATGTGGATACACAATCACACTCCCCATTTTTAGATAATCTGCATTTTGCTTAAGAATGGATGGCTTCGAATGCGGATCAGGAACAAACCCTGTGAAACAGGATGTGTTAAGGTGCTCAAATCCTCAATTAGCTGGGAAGTTCATTTGACTAATGTGTTTATTGTTCTCTTGGAAGCCAGGACAGGGATCTTGAAGAGAGGTTAAGAGCCATTTGTCTATTGAATGCAGGTGAGTGGGAGGAAGTAAGGAGCCCAGCCACGGAGGTCCTGGTTCTGCTACAAAACTGCAGTCAGACATTACAGAAATTAAAATTTGAAGCTCGGGAGAAAGGAAAGTCTCCGCCTGCATAACCCAAAAGTCTTACTATTTTTTTATTTATGCAATCGATATGCCTCCCTCCCCCTCTAAAAAAGCTCAGAGCAGCTTCCAGTGAGATTACAGGAGAATTTATGAAACAGGACAGCAAAACAACTGGAAAAGTGAGCAGAGCATCCGTATAAAAGAAGAGGCATCCCCTCCCCCCCGAACAATATCCCAGCCTAGCGGAGTTTGCTAACTGCCTGCCCGAGTGGGATGGTGTTAAAGCACTTGTGGAAGAAGCCTATCACCAGACCAGACGCGCAGTGGTTAATGCCGGAGCTGTGGAGGGCTGCGTTTATGGCTCTAGCCTGGGATAAGGGAGGTCATTGAGGTCTAGCAAGAACAAAGGGAAGGTTGTCGTGATGGAGGTGGCGACTAGCGCAAACCCCGGATGCTGACGTGGGGAATGTAGGCAGGAGGGCAGGGGGGAAGAAAAAACCCCTGGGACATCAATGAATCCAAGGGCAATAATGCACCCAATTATCTGAGGCCCCAGCCAGGCACGGGGAATAACCACGCATGAATTGTTGCCGGACCTTTCCCCAAATGGGCTGCAGGCTTACCCACTACAGGTTGTACCGCCCCTCCAGCCAGTGCAGCGTTGCTGGGACGGGTGTTTCCGAGGAGTGGTACACCCAGAAACACGGACTCAGAGCAAGATACGAGAGTCGTGCACGGAGCACGACTGCTTTTTGGCATAAATCGCCGCTTGCATACCCCATATGACTCAAAAAGCAAACAGACAGGGCCAAGGGGCTAATCACGCCATTGAGACGGCATTTTAAAAATAGTCAAAGGCACAAGGAAAGATTAGGGTGTGAAATGACTCGTAATCGCTATCCTTTGCAGCGCTCAGTGCACTGCCCACATGAAGCCTTGGCAGGGAGGAAGCTGAATGTACTGGGCATCTGGTTAGTGCAATGCACGTCTACGCTCTAACACGATGTGACTTTCCTCTTCCTCCCCTTGGTAGTACGCGAGGCAACTGAGTCATAGCTGCTTAGCTTCGTTACGGACATTTTGTCTGCCAGGCTGTGCGTGCAGAAGTCTCATTAATGACTGCTGCGGAATCAGTGTCTTCTCCCCGTGCAGCTACTGATGGCGTGGCCGGTGCCGCTCGAGGGAAGCGTGGTGGCGAGGCTGCAGCTCGGCCAGGGCGGCTGCTTGCCCCAGCCCCGGTGACCCCCGAGGAGGAGGAGTTGCTTATGGCCAGACCCCAAGCAGGGCCGTCGGCTGCTCTGACGGCGGCAGTGGGCATGACCTCAGGATGGAAAAGGTGATTCCAGATTTGCAGAGGACGTCTAAGACAGCGTGCAACAAGGAGGCGGTGGCATACATTTTGGCAGGAGAGAGAGAGGGTTAGCCACGTGGGTCTGAAGCCAGAGCTGCACCTCGTAGACTTTCGTCGCCTCTGGACAGAAATAAAAGAGCAGTTGTTTAGGAAAGCGTCTCTGATGCAGTTGGTGCAGAAGATGCAACTCCACCCTGCCTTTCCCCCCGGGGGGAAGCACTGCCGTGAGCGATGTCGTGTCGGGCTGTGGCTCCGCTGCGTGCAAGCTGTGCTCACGTCCAGCCGTGCTCGGCA